TGGGGGGGGGGGGCATTTGCCCCCCCTTGCCCCCCCTGGCGCCGCCACTGATGTTAAGCTATCAAAGAATTCGAAACCTGCATTTGATTGCATTTAATTGTTTTATCTCCCTGCCATTAAGGTAGTGGTCTGTTTTGTTTGTCACTTTTGCAAATGGCAAAAAAATACTATGAATTTGTACCGTCCATGCATGTTTTCTTGGAGATAAAAGTGTTTTGCAGTAGCCAGTACTGTACAACTCGTCAAAATCTATCAGTTTTTAATTTCCATTTTTAATTTGTGTTGCTTGTGTTGCTATCCACTGTCCATGCACTTTAGTAATAATCTCACTTTTGTTTAGCCCCGCAGAAAGGTGTTACACAGTGAGCCGTCTATTGATGTGAATTTTGGCAGCACTGCACATTCAACGTCGCCGCAAAAAGGTTAGATTTTAGTGCAAAATTCATGCTTTTTGGAGTAAATAATACATAATTTACAACCAGAATTGTTTTAGTGCATTAAAATAAACACATTATCTCGTTGTATCGATAGGCTAAAAAGGTATAAAATATTTTTGTAATTAATACAAAAAATGTAAACCCTTTTGCTTAATGTATAATTTTCCATGATCAATTATAAACAAAATTAAAAGACTTTGACCACTATATCCCGGCCAGCTGGGATAAGCTTCTGAACACGCACTTTTCTGAAAAAATCTGACATCAAGCGTTTATAGCTGGCTTCATCTTGGCAATGTAATTTGTCATAAATATGACAAGATGAGTTACATTAACACCCAGCCCGGTAGGCAAGTCTTCCCGAGTATAAATGTGTTTATCATGGCAAATACTATAGACAATGCAAAGCAAGGTCTTGGTAAGGCAGGCCAGCTTGGTACCCACATAAATGCAAGTTGAGAAGGCCTACCACTGGCACTAATTGTATTTTTGCCTGATGCTGTCTGGATCGGTTTGCCTGCGTATCAATTACATATGATTAAACATCACTTATATAGACATTAGACATCCATATTTAATATGATATATTATTGATGTATTATTGAAATGCGAACGATACGAGGTAGCAATTGGTGAAAATCATAGACTGAAAGTAATTGAAAATGTTTTTTTACAGGATCAGTCACGGCGAAAATGAAACCGTTGCCACGTGATAAAAAAGCTTTATTTCAGGAAGCCAGTTCCTTGGGCTTGCTGGGAGCGAGTCCTGATTTACAAGAACCGAGAGCAAAGCTTATAGATTTCATTAATAGTTCGAGGACGATTAGACGAAGCATTAATCATGTCTTAATTCTATTATTTGGCGAGTCTGGCGTTGGCAAATCGGCCACAATTAATCATCTCTTCGGCACTAAGGATGAAATTGCAAAAACAAGTGAATCCCAGTCAGAAACAAGATCTACTCAAGAGTTCATCATATACAGTAGTGAACCACGATATGAAGTTAAAAGACTTCCACTAGGAGTAGTTGACACTCCAGGACTTAGTGACACTGATGGTTCCTACCAAGATGGATGCAATCTTTTGTCTATAAAACAGTTTTTCGAAACACATCCGAAGCTGTCAGGATATTTCCCAAACTTGATTTTTCTGATTGTGAAATCAACTGATAATCGGATCATGGGAAAAAACAGCGAACTTGCGAAATCGTTGAGATGCATCAAAGAACTCAACTTAGTTGATCCTAAAAATCCAAATGTTGTGGCTATTTTGAGCCATGCATGCGGAGTCCCATATAAAAAAGTCGAAAAATGGTCTGAAAAAATGGAAACAAAAAAGTCTGCTGTTAAAAGAATCATATTTGAAGCTTTGAAAGTGACTGCTCCAGTGGTCTTGCTGGAAAACATGTACGGGGAAGATGACAACGACCTAGATGTTTCTGGTGATTACACACGTCTTCCAAATGGAGTACTGCAGCCTAAGAATTTGTATGATGCTTGTGCAGGCGTCCTAAAGAAAAATAAGGATTATCTTGCTCTCATTACTTTAAACAGTGTCTTTGCAGCATCCACGAAGCTTCCTCCTCCAGAACTTGGACAAAAGAATGAAGCAAAGAACGCGGAAAGTTGTACACTTAACGCTAAAGAAAGAGCGTTCGTTGATTCATTGGAAAAAACGGCCAGAGGAGGTACAACTGTTGATCTTATATATGTATTTAACAGTTATACCATGAGCTTGAGTTGTATAGATGAGCTGATAGCTTGGCTATTTGCCATATATACGAATTGTTTTATAATATAGTCATACAGAGTGTATAAAAAAAGATAATCCAACTTCAGCACGCTATTGTGCGTAAATTACTTGGTATAAACGAGCGTAATTTTTGTATCTGCGAAGCAGATATATTGCTATCGCAAACGTGCCGTTAATGTTACTGTTACCGTATGTTAGCACATAGCCATTCAGCGACGAGCTTATATAATTTAAGCCAATTTAAGCCAATCAGCGATTCGTTTACATCAATTGTTTACATCGTGCCCGCATCTAACCTGCGAACGGGCATACTTTAGCCTCGTCAGGCCTCGTGTATAAATCGTGTTTATATTCTTTCAAAAATATCTTGATCAATTTATCTTGAATTGGGATCAATTTATCTACTTGCGATATTATTCCGAAGTTATTTATCAACATGGAATCTTATCCTCATCTGGTAAGTAGTCAAATACCACATATTATATATTTAAATACCAAATTTGTGCAAATATATGTCCCACATATTTTATAGTACATGCGTTCGGCAAATATTTGCTATACTATCTATAGTTTATAATATTGCCGTATCTTCGGCGTAGAGTTTACATGGAATGCACTTTATAATACAGAGTCCGGCAAATATTTACTATACTATCTATAGTTAATATTGCCGTATTTTCGGCGTAGAGTTTACATGGAATGCACTCTGGAATTTTTTTTATTAATATATTACACTGTATAAAATATTGGATATTTTCGAGGATATTTTAAGCCATTCGTCAACATAGTTCACAAAAAGATTTATACAGTATTAAAAACAATCCTT